GAAAACCACTGGCCTAGATGAAACCTAACAAGAGCATTGTGAGGTTTGGGGAGTAGGCTGAATCCCATCGCTGAGACAATTATTTTCAGACCAAAAGCAGGATAGGAACAAAAATATTTCAGCTAAAGGGATGCTCTCTATCAAGTCTGGGTTTAGACACACAGTGGAGAAGAGGAAACTTGATTCTGCTGCTTGCTAGCCATAGTGTATTTGTTCAAGGTCAGAGCAGTCGTCTCGTGGCACAGCAGTCCTGGATATGCAAACAAATATGATGGATACTATTCAAAATCATAATAGATGCAACTAATGTGTGATCTTGAATAATTTTTGAAGTATGCTATAAACTGCAAAAACATATCCCTCAGCTATTTAGAATATTATGATTGCCTCCATTTTACTTTTTAAATGAGCTGTTTTCTTTCTCCTAACAGATTATAATAGCAGTGACCTAAAAACATCTTGCCGAAAACATGAGCTTTTTGTTAGCTTCCAGGACTTGGGATGGCAGGTGTGTGAAGTTTCTTTGGGTAAACTAGACATTATGAAATATTATATAAACAATATTCTACTGAGTCCAATACACATAGTAGAACACTGTAAAATGACCCTTGTGCCACCACATGAAAACTAGTCATCGGGTGGGGGAAGAAATAAATACTAATAACTTTAGGGTTAGATGGATCCCAAAGGATGCATCTTAAAATATTTAATTTTCACATTTTATTATGTAGCCATCTTGTTGCTGGACAGCAAGACAGTAATGAAGCCTGTAGATGTAATTTGAGACCCAGTATGCATATGAAAACATGCTATTCATTAAATTAGTGCAATTATCACTCTGGTTTAAACCTGATTTAAAAGTAGGTTTGTACTCATTTAACGAGGTTGATTTAAATTGACTTACAAAATTCTAGATAAGTTTCAGTGCTACTCCTGGGCCACAAAATGTTCAATTGGAACCCTTTCAAAGAATTATTTTTTAGAGAAATCTACAATCTCTTTTGTTTGAAGTTTTGGAGCACTTTAGTGACAGAGGTAAAGAATTAATGTCAATCAAAGGTTAGTTAGTAATAGCTAAAATCTTTGGGACTGTAATTCAGTTCAAACGTGTATAACCCTACACACAAGTTCACTCATCTTGGGAGCACAGTTTGCACACAATTCCAGCCTAGTCCCACAACAGGCAATGCATCACCTTGGAAGCTGGCCAATTTAATAGTCAGGGTTTAAGTTGCAATAGATTGTAACCCAGAAATACTTTTGGAGGCTGCCATCTTGTTCTGAGTCCCTTCTACTTTAAAAATTCAGAAAACCTTTAGCATATGCCCTGCATCAAGCAATGCACTGAGTCTGCAACCAACCTGAACCACTAGCTCATCTCACTGTCCTGTTAACCCCGACCCCCATATATTTTAAAAGTCAACATTAACTTTCACTGCTGCTCAAACCAGCTGAGGGGGCTATAATACAAAGAGCAGTGCTACCAATGCCTTGTGCACTGCAGGTGGGTGGCACGAATATCTGTCCTTTGCCCTAGTCTTTCACATGAGCTGAAGCAGCAGTCACTGGTGTGGCAGTGGAAAGCAGATGAGTTGAGCACAGCAGGGCCTTCAAGTTCCTTCTCTTCCCACCTCCCAACAATACTCTGAATTATGGGGGCATGTAAATCAGATAGCTTCTTCTCTGGGTCATGGAGGCTGCCCTTTCTCCCATTGCCCCAATTATACTCAAAATATTGGTTTTAAAATGTCTCTTCACAAGCATGAGGCTAGATACTTGCTTTTCAAAATGAAAGCTTGTGGTTTCTTCACATGCTGGTGGGAGCTAAGGCTATACACCATGATCAAGCATGAGCCAGTGGTTAATACCTACAGATAACTTCTCATGTAGGTAACACTTAGGAGGGCATCAATTATTTTTATTGTAAATCTTAAGTCCTAAGTTTAATGCAAATATATGTTTGGCAATTCAGGATGCAGTCAATTTTATAACAGATAGCTTCCACAATACCTGTAACTCCTTTTTAGATAAGGAATTACTTGCCAGGGGGGGGGGCTAGATTTGCTGGGCCCCTGGGTAAGATGGCAGGGTGCTCAGTGCTCCCGGAAAGGGTGGGGCTGAGGCAGCCAGCCCTGAGCACTGCCCAGAGTGCATTGGAGCACTCGCCTCTCCCCCCACCCCCCAGCTCCTGAATCACTGAGCCCTGGGGCAACTGCTTTTTTTTTGCCCTCTCACCACCAGCAGTCCCAGTACAATGTCTTCAATTAAAGTAGATATTGATTATTTAGAATAGCTTGTAGTTGTGAGGGGGAAGGGAGGGAAAAGAGGAATCTCACAATTTGCATTTAAACATGGATCAGGACAATCAAACTTTGTACATTTAAATTTGGTGAAGAGGTGCATTTTAAATGCTGCATTGCTGTGTGTACTTAATACACAATGATAAGTTCTTAAACAAAAGGGATCAAGATAGAAAGCAGCAGTTCTGGATTTCAAACCATATTTCCTCGAAAGGCCAGAATTTCCCTCTCTCCTCCCCCTCACTGCATTCACATGACAAACCACCATTTCAAAATTCCAGCTTTACTACCATCTCTTCTATGGTGTATTTGTGCTCTCTGATTTCTCAACAGTATTATACAGACTGTCAGAATATTTCTTCTTTTTGTGCAGAGCTTCAGTGAAAACTAAGATGACAGTGGGAAGCTTTCCAGGGAAAAAATAACTTTGAAGTATTTCAGTTAAAACCTGAGATACATAAATTAGAAATTACACCACAGAAGCACATGCATGTTTGTAGTGTGGGTGCCTTATGCTCCCATTTTCTATGGGTATTCTCTGGCTGGATGAAATCTCCCAAGATACATTGTTCACTCTTTTGATGCTGTACTTACTGTACTCACCAAGAGTCCCTGAATACTGTATATCATGGAAGGTAATGCATGTCTATGTTAGGGGGCAATGTCACTCTAAAGGTACACAACTCCAGCTAGATGAATAGTATGGCTGGAGTTGATGTACCTTAGGTCAAACAGCACAGGCTCTCCACTGCGGCAAGGTGGGTGTCAACGGGAGAAACTCTCCTGTTGATTCCCCTTACGATTATTGTTCCAGTGGAGTATGAGTGTGAGATCAATCCCCCAAGGGTTGAAAGTGAACCACTGATCGCCACAGTGGCAATCTCCTAGTAAGTGTAGACTTACCTACAGTTCCAACTAGAGAGCCCAGCCCCAAGAGTGGAAGTATAAGGGTACTGTGATGCCCTTTTTTAATCAAAATATTTTCTAAGCAAAGCTGATACTTCATGACAAATTGTTACAATCCAATTTTTCACCAGTAGTTGACAGGTTTAGTCAGAGCTAATAGCGTACTGTTACCTGTGTAGGCCATCTGTTACAACACTCAAACAGGTAGCTTTAATTACACTGAAATATTTTCTATTTATTTCCTAACAAAGGATTGGATAATTGCACCAAAGGGCTATGCAGCCAACTAC